AAAAAAAAAAAAAAAAAAAAAAAAAAAAAAAAAAAAAAAAAAACAGAACATGTGATTAACGAGAACCGAAAAAGTGACATCAATGAAGAAAAGACAAACACACAGAGTTCAAAATTAAATCAACCTGAGGAACAAGACAAAAAAAAAACAAATCTGCATGAAGGGACGTCTGTGAAAAAAGAACCCAGTGATGACCTGCTGTGGATATCAGGAGAAGAACGTGCGTCTAACATGGGCACGTACAAAGCGGAAACGTCAAACAGGGAGGAAGGATGCAAGCCAGAAAAATTGACCAAACTGATGCACGAACTGGGGGGCAAAAAGGCAGAAGCGAGAGGCACGAGTGATTTAGCGACAGGAAAGGACAGCGCGGTAGGAAGCAAAAAGGAGTTTATGGAGAGAGGGAATGCCTCGGAGGTGACCCCTAAGGGATTAGCGAGAAGCCGCGGCGTTCCCCAAAATAGCCCAGCGGGCTTCTCGCCCAATTCTGCGCCAAGGTCGACACCAAAATTGGCCTCAAAATTGGCCGCAAATTTGACGCCCAAATTGACCTCAAAATTGGCGCCCAAATTGGGCTCACAATTGACGCCCACTGCCGCGCCCATTGTTGCACCGCGAAATGGCCCCGCGTGGAACCGCGGCAAGTTCGCCTCTCTAAGGAAGGTGTCCCCATGGACGCTCCACGGACACAAAAGCAAAACGAACCTCCCATCAGTGCATCCGAAGGGGAGTGAAGAAAAACGAAAAAGAAACCCATATGAGACATCACGGGAAAAAAAAATGACAATTTTGGCCAAGAGGATCCGGTGCTTGACCTCCTTCGAAAGTGGTACTGAGAGCAGCGGAGGGGCAGATGCCGCCAATCCGAAGGGTTGTGCCAGTGACGGTGGAGGAAATGTAGTAGAACCGAGGTGTAGCATCAAAGAAGAGGGAACAGATGCTATCGATGCCATTTCTAGCCCTACGAACCAAGTGCACGAGCAGCAGGACACTCTACTTCTTCTTCTGACGAGGGACTTCCGTGTGAATGACAACTGGGCATTGACATACGCACAGGAGATGGCCAAAAAGAAGGGGTACACCCTCATCGCATGCACATGTCTGAATAGGAAAGAAAAAGTAACGAACCGATTTATTTACACAAAGTTGAAAGTCTTAAAAAACCTAGAGAATGCACTGAAGCAAATTAACATCCCCTTTTACATTTTACCTTTGTACATGATTGACGAATTTAGTGAGTTCATAAAAACACATCACGTAAAAGTAATCACGTGTGACCTGCATGTGTTGCACGATGAGAAAGCATTCATTAAATCGCTAACTCATTTGTGTAACAAGAGGAAGGTTAAAATGGTCCAAGTGGATTCACACAATGTTGTCCCCATGTGGGTCACTTCCAAGGTCGAGGAATGCTCAGTGAGGACCATCAAGCCAAAGATACAGGCCCTCCTACCAACCTTCCTAATTGAGTATGTGTCGGTAGAACCTTTTGAGCAAAATTTGAAATTCCCTGACCCATTCGACGTGGACGAGGTGGTCAGCAAGCTCACCGTGTCTAACACTTGTGCAGTGGTCCCCAATTTTGTCCTCACCGAAAACAAGGCGCAGGAATTGCTGAGCGATTTTTGCACCAAGGCCCTGGACAAGTACAACGTCAAGAGGAACGACCCGAACAGCGACGCCGGCAGCGTGCTGCTGCTGTACATAAACTTGGGGGTCCTATCTGCCCAGAGGTATGGGAGAGCGGCGTGCACGCGGCCAGGCGGCGTGAAGGCGACCAGCCGGCGGACAATGTGCCCGCTAGCGGGTACTGTGTAGCCTGTTCGACTTCTTCCTTATCACCCGTTTCACGTTTCACGCTTTACCTTTTACGTTTCCCCGCAGGTGCGTGCTGGAGGTGCACAAGCACGCGTACAACAACCCGTCCATACACGCTGTGAGCGGGAAGGAGTCCTTCAGCGACGACTTCATCATGCGCAAGGAGTTAGCGGACAACTACTGCTACTATAACAGAAACTATAACAACTTCGAAGGCGGCAGGGAATGGGCCAAGGAAAGTCTGAAAAAACACGACGCAGACAAGAGGGAATATTTATACGATTATGAAGACTTTAAAAATGCGAACACACATAATGAGATGTGGAATTGTTGCCAACTACAACTGATCAATGAAGGGGTCATGCATGAGTTTTTAAAAGTTTTTTGGGCCAAGAAAATTCTGAACTGGTCAGCCAACTCGCAGACTGCTCTGAAATATGCCATACAATTAAATGAAGAATTGTCCATTGATGGCAAGACCCCCAGTGGGTATGCTTCTATCATGTGGTCTATCATGGGAGTTCATGATCAGAGTTGGAACGAGAGAAATGTGTTTGGCAAAATTCGATTTATAAATAGTAACGGGTGTAAACGTAATTTCGATATGAACATGTTCGTGTTAAAATATCCCAAGGGAAAGGAAAACGCTTCAATTGTGAAGAAAATTCCGACCATTACTTTTGCTAGTTATTTGAAGAAGCGGAAAAATGGCCCCGCGACTCCACTTCAGGAACCCACACGCAAGATGCATATCAAGGGGCCCGTTCGATGATCTGCGGGAAAAACTACGCTGCCCCCAATACACATTTAACAAAAGAAATGCGTACAGGTAAGTCAGTCAAACATGCTCAGCACCTCTGCACATATATGACCAAGCGGCTGCTACATTTAACATGCAGAAGTTTTCCGAACGCAGTGGGACATGACCGACCAACGAAGAAAAAACAAATAGGTGACAACTACTCGGCAGGTGTAGCGGCAGCAAGGAGCACTAGGGTGGTCGCGTCATTGAGCTGCCCTGTCCCATTCCGCTTCGAGCGTCGCACTCCGCACGCTGCGTCATTTTCGCGTGGGAAAATTACAACTTAGCCACAATTTTCTACAGGAATTTAATTTTAAAAAAAAAAAAAAAAAAGGAGGGCCATACAGGCGCGGGGATTATACACATATACAGTACGCATGTGTATGTACATATCTGCGGAGGGGATACAAAAAAAAAAAAAAAAAAAAAGGAAAACTGCTCGAATGGTGAAGAAATGGGACAAAGAAACAAAACCACACTGATGGAGATGCAGATCATTATTGCGACCGCGATCACGACAGCGATAGCAATAGAATAGTAAGCTTGGGGGGGAGGAGGAAACGTTGGTGTGCACACTGGCATTTATATTAACGCACATGCAGCTGCGCATGTGCCCAAACTCGCGCACGATCAGTGCTGCTTCAAACTCTGCAACAACACGTCCCTGGCAATTTCTGCCTTCTTCTGAATGTAAGCTGAGCCATTGTACGGCCCGCTCTTCTCATTCAACTTGCTCAATATCATGTGTCTATTGTGAATCTCCTCCCGCAGGGTATTCAATTCTTCCTTGGTTAATTTTTTATAAACCTTGCTCTTATCCACGCTCAGGATGTTCAGCGCCTCCTCCACGTTCATGCACGTGCTGTACTTTTCCTTAATGAAGTGCGTGTTCCTGTTCTTTATGATTTCTTTGTATGCCTGTTGGGGGTTACAAATGGCAAAAAAGGGGGCAATAAGAGGGCAATAAATTGGGCGGCGAAAACTCAAACGCGGAGTGCACACATGCAGTCGTAACAAATGTTCCACGGGTGCCCACATGGTTCAGTGAGCTATGGAGTCCTCCCCCGCACTTGCGTCCGTCTTACCTGTATGAAGGCCTTGCCCAAAGCAGTGGACGTTATGATGAGGAACTGAAAAACAAACTGGCTAAGGGGCCTAAACGGTAACATTTTTTAACACCCCCGTTTATTAAAAAAAAAAAAAGAAAAAAAGGAAATGGTTCCACGTGGGCGGGAAAACTGGGCAAACGGGGCAAAGGGAGCAAATACCGTAGAACGATGTGTGCGTTCCCCCACTATCCCGTTATGAAAGAAAAAAAACGCAAATGTATCCTGTTAAACTTGTTGCTGCTACACCCACTTTCCATCATTAAAAACGTTTGCTCTGAGGACAAAAGTCTGACAGCGAGGGGGGCCGTATAAAATGAGTAGCTCTTCAGTTCAAATTGCACGAGCTATATTTAAATGTAGGATTTTGCGTGTTGGAGATTTCTGTTTATTTATTCTTCGTGGGTCTTTTTTTTTTTTTTTGTTGTTGTTTCTCTTCAGCTCTAAAATCGGTGGAGTTTCGTGTAGCGCGCTTGGGATCGCTGATGAGTGGTTCCTGCCTTTTTTTCTCCACTACGTATTCTCCTTTGTCGATAATTTTTTAAAGTGGCAGATCGGTTTGCGTGCCACGTCAACCGTTAAGCAGCTAGCCAATTTGAAGTCAACCAATTTAAGTACGAACCAACTGCGCAACTCGCTTCAAACTCCCACCCTCGAGCGTTCCCTCAATTTCGTGTTTTGCGCTTCCCTTGGACATTCACTTTGGCTTCATTTTCCCAGCTGTTTCCCGTTGCCTTCCCGCTGTTATGCTGTGACTGTAGTGGTAACTCTGCTGGGTTGTTTCGTTGCGTTGTTGCTCCGTTGCTCGGTCGCTCATCGCTTTTACGATAGCTTATCCAATAACTGTATGCTCTATCCCAAATTTATAAACTTCAACCACGTGGACCTACAATGTTTTTTATTTTAACTCCTTTAATGCGAACAAACGCCGTGTGACCTTTTTTATGGAATTTTTTTTTTTTTTTTCTGTATGAACGGCAAGGTAAAAAAAGGAAAAAAAAAAGGAAAAAAAAAAGGAAAAAAAAAAAAAAAAAAAAAAAAAAAAAAAAAAAAATCACCGCTGTTTTGTGCTGTAATGTAGCGTAAAGCCACTGGGCCAAATTGTAACTGCATACATAGAGTTTTATTAGTCCTTTTTTTTTTTTTTTTCGGAGTTTGACAACAATGTGTTGTAGTTTCTTTTGCTCCTTTTTTAAGTGCCCGTGCCGCGTTCCCTGTTGTTGTTGTTCCACCTGTTCGTGAGTCTTGGCATGGCTTGATTTTTTTTTTTTTTTTTTTTTCCCACCCACGTGAGCATCTCTCTCGTGCCGATGGAACACCGACGTTGTTAAAATGATAAGGAAGGCCACACAGTCCCTCTTCAAGGAAGACGCACGTACGTGGAGATTAGTCCAAATGGGTGCAAGTGCGTGTAGAAGGGCATTTGTGTAAAACCCCTACGCGTAGGAGAGGCTGTGCGGAAATTGCGAAAACGCACATGTGCATATAATGACGCATACAAATATATCAGTGCGCGCTTTCATACCTGCTTACATGTTGTGTCCTCTCCCCCGGAATATACATCCTTGACTGTCCACCGTGTCCCCCGTGCAGTAGCAGGAACGCCGTACTTGGCGAAGCCATTCCTTAATATCAATTTTTTAAATGAGGAACAGCTCCCCTTTTGGCTGACTGATGAAAAACATGTAGGTGAATATACCGACGAGCACTTGCAAGTGCGGTCGCATGATGGCGCGGAAATTTTGCTTAACCAAAATGGGGAAAGCATAGAACAGACCAATTTATATCCTCAATTTTTTACATAAGGATGTGCCTAAATGGTGTCTTACGAAAGTGTGATTAAACCTCATGCGATGTGTGCACGAATGGCGATTGCGTTTCCGTTTCCTTTTTCTTCTTTTTTCGCAAAAGAAGGCAATCTATGGTGCATTGAAGTTGTAAAGTCGCCGTAGCCACCGCGTGACAAACCTCATAAGGAAAAATCGGCCCCTTAAAGAACGTCTGTGCCGAATTGTACCAACCCGCACCTGAACGAACAAACCACAGCTCGCCACTTGGCCCAATTTCTCCCCCCAATGCAGATTAAAAAGTGCAACTCCATTTTCAACTCGAAAATTATTGCCTACCCAGTTTATGTAGCCCAAACAATTCATAAGTATAAGCCTTCAGCCATCCCGCAGGTAGGCAAAAAAAAAAAAAAAAAAAAAAACGCATTATCAACATGCACAAATCTATCGCGTAAAAAAAAAAAACTAGAGGCGTTATTATGACCCTACAAGCGTGCGACAAAAGGACCCCTCACCCCCGCCCCTCTTTGAATTTCCAACATGCAGGTAGCCATATTCGGACGGTCCAACGTCGGCAAATCGAGTTTAATCAACGCCCTGCTAAACAATAGGGAAGTAGCGCAGGCCTCAAAGACGCCGGTAATTTTACACCAAAAAAAAAAAAAAAAAAAGGGGCAAATACACATTTAATTGACCCATCAGTGACAATATGCAAAGCTCACTCGTTGATGCTGAACTGAATAGAACCCCATCGTTCCTGTCCACCAGGAGTCTCTTCTCCATCTATGCGCCCTAGCTGCTCCCAAGCAGAAGTAAACATTTGTGATGAAGAATGTGTTGCAGTACTTACACCACTTTTTTTTTCTCCCGTTTTTTGCGTGTGCAAATTGGCCATTTGTTTTTTTTCACCTTTCTGTGTCCACGCAGGGGCGTACGCGGCATTTGTTTATTTTCAACTTACTAAATCACCTCTCCATCGTGGACTTACCCGGCTATGGGTTTGCCAAGGTTGCCAAGGACATGCGTGACAACTGGTCCATCCTTATCGAGGAGTATTTGAAGAGAGCGGTTAACTTGAAGCGCGCTCTGTGTTTGATTGAATGTACAGAGTTTTTCACTCCACACGATTTTGTCTTACTGGACATGCTAATAACCAAAGGAGTGCCTTTTCAAATTATCCTTACCAAGGTGGATAAGCTTCGGGTATATTTCACACACACACAAAAAAAAAAAAAAGGAGAGTAGTAAAATATATATATATATATCTCTGAGTGGCTTTTTTTTTTTTTTTTTCACCTTTTTAACACTTTTCGCGCATCAGTGAGGTTTTTAAAATGTGCTTTTTCGTATAAGATATATACACTTCCTATCCCTACCTACGCCACACCCAACACAACTGCATATAGGCACACGAGCTACACAAACTTATGTTTAAAGTCCTCTCCGTGATTGATAATTACAAGAAGAAAGTAAAATTCCTCAACGAACGCACCCACAAGGATAATGCCACCTACGACATGAAAATAAACAGCTACTTATTTAATGTGTCCAGTTTGAAGAATTTTGGGGTTCAGCAGCTGAGGGCCCACTTGGGGTTAATAGCAACTGATAATATGCGCATGAAGAAGTGACGACAGGAAGGGCTCAAAATATCTGGGCCGTTCAGCACTGTTGCATTATAAGAAATTTATATGTGTACCACAAATATGTACGGGGGGGCAGGTGCATACTGCTCTGAAAAATGTTTAATGTGGTTTTTTTTTTTTTTTTTTTCCTAATCGGGGAGAGGGCACCTGCTCTACGCACATGACGTGTGTTATTATGTAACACGCCCGGGAATATCGCCATCGGGCACCGCGCACCGTGCAGCATGTAGCGTGCACATGTAGCCTGCACCGGGGGGGGTTAGAGCATACCTCTTTTTTCTTTTTTTTTTTTTTTTGAGGAACGACGCCACGTCAATATTGTATGCCCCCCTTTTTTTTTTTTACCACCTTTAAACCACTTTGAGCATTTGTGATAAATCAGCACACTTATTTTTTTCTGCATACTCCCATTTTGCCTGTTTTTTTTTTTTTTTTAAAAGAACTTCAATTTGCATTTGCACGACGTCGCCACAAGGTACAGTGGATGGGGAGGACGCGTTGTGCGTCTCGTGTAGGGAGGGGTGTATTCCTTTTTTGTGAATGCCTCGTGCAAGTGCTGTTTGTTTATGCCCCTCATGGGGGCACCCCATACCCCTGGTGCGCAGCTGTTACTTATGGGGAAATGTTGGTGACGACATTTTGCAATTTTGCTGAGGGTGCGTTTTCACCACGGTGGGGAGGCACAAGTTTTTTTTTTTTTTTTTTTTTTTTTTTTTTTTTTTTTTCAAGCACACTTTGGTGGAGCATTTTGTCGAGAATATTTTTGTGAGGCACATTTTTTATTTCAATTATCTTTTCCCCTTCACTTGCAACATTTTTTTATTTTTCAATTTAATTTTTTTTTTTGCAACTCCTCTCTACACGTTTGTTGTTTGGCTTTCATTTTCCCAATTCACACGCGCGCCACCAGAATAACAGCACACAAGTGCAAATCTGCGAAGCGGCAAATTTTCGAAGCTGCGAAGCGGCAAATCTGTGAAGCGGCAAATTTTCGAAGCTGTGAAGCGGCAAATCTGTGAAGCGGCAAATTTTCGAAGCTGCGAAGCGGCATCACCGCACCAATTGAGAAGCTAACCGACGAGAGTCGCTCAAGTGCCTACCGACGAAGGCTTCCCGCCCGGTTGTTGTGTACAAGCACACCCCTCCCCAGCAGGAATTTTTTTTTTCCCCCTCTTTTTTCTGGCGAACCCCCTTGTGCGAAATAATGAAGGAAGAAGCACAAAGGCACATCAAGCTGACCCCATCTCAAACAACCCCAGTGGTGCTGGTGGTAGGGGACCCAGGTCGTGTTGACAAGGTAAAGGTGTTATGTGACTCGTACATAGATTTGGCATTTAATAGAGAATACAAAAGTGTTGAGTGCACGTACAAAGGGCAAAAGTTTTTGTGTGTGAGCCACGGAGTTGGATCAGCAGGATGTGCAATCTGTTTTGAAGAGCTCATGAATAACGGAGCAAAGGTAATCATTCGTGCTGGTTCTTGTGGGTCTCTCCAACCAAATGAAATAAAAAGAGGAGACATCTGCGTATGTAACGCAGCCGTACGGGAGGACAGAGTATCTCACCTAATGATTCATGCAGACTTTCCAGCTGTCGCCGATTACGAGGTATACGACACATTAAACAAAGTTGCACAGGAATTAAAGGTCCCCGTTTTCAATGGAATTAGTTTGTCTTCTGACCTGTACTACCCCCACAAGATCATCCCAACGAGGCTGGAGGATTACTCAAAGGCTAATGTCGCTGTTGTGGAAATGGAAGTAGCAACCTTAATGGTTATGGGTACTCTGCGAAAGGTAAAAACGGGAGGAATCTTTATCGTTGATGGGTGCCCCTTTAAATGGGATGAAGGCGATTTTGATAATAACCTCGTTCCAGAAAAACTTGAAAATATGATTAAGATATCTCTGGAGGCATGTGCTCGCTTGGCCAAGAAGTATTAGAGACACACAGCGGCATTAGGCGTGTTTTATAGCGAGATTCATTTTTTACCCCAAGTCCATATGCACATATATAAAAGGTGAAGGACCATCCGCGAGAGAAAAGGGCCTTCTTATGTGTATATATATATGTGTGTGTGTGAGATTTCTCCTCTTTCAAACGAAACATGTATTATTTTTATATTACATTTATATTGCATTTAAAAATGTACGAATTGTAAAAGGGAGGTCTTCCCATCGATGATCCATTTGCATATTTTTCCTGCAATGCGTCGGTGGGAGTGTACCCTTTTTTTTTTTTTTTTTTTTTTTTTTTTCATGTTTCCTCTGCTACTCCTCGTGGAGCAATATGTTAAGAGGAGCCACACACCCCATGGGCAACACGCACACACACAAACGCAAGCACGAACACGTACGTAGGAAACACTTGTCGTTCCTCCTACGACTGTCCATTTTAAAAATTTTCTTAAGCGGTCAAACGGGGTGGAATTTCTTAAGCGGTCAACGGGGCGGCGTGCTGAGCAAGTCGCCCACTTATCGTAAAGAGTTATCGAGTGATTGAAAAAAAAAAAAAAAAAGGACTACTACATCGTGCGGGGGAAAGGATATCCTCCCAAATGGGCTGCGAATTTGGCCTACAGGTGTGGCGCGCGGGTTACCGTTCGTTCAAGCAACTCAACTCGATTAGGAGCTCACCCTGAGAAGTGGGGAATGGGAATGGGAAGTGGAGAATGAGAGGCGGGATAAATACGCGGCGAGTGCACCAGCGGGAAAATAAATCATGTCGCAGCCGCTGCTCCTCCTCGATGGGGAAGCAGTCACCCGTGCAGTTGGTTATTACTATCGTTATGTGCTCCAGCAGGTTGGCCCTTTTGAAGAATAACTCTTGAAGGACTTGGGCGGAGTAAAAGGGGAGTTGCCTAAAGGGGGAAAGCGGTGGGAAGAAGTGTGTACGTGTAGCTGGCTCGTCGCTGCGCCGTCACTGCAAGTAGCTTAATGGCCACTTCGCACGAGTGCCTTGGCCGGGAAAGCCGCTTCCGCTCCTACCGTAGCATGTCGTCGAAGAGGACATTTTTGATCCCAAACGAGTTTGTCCTCTTGTGGAGGTTGAGTCTGGCCGATTGGGTGAAGACATCTGGGCTCAAATCTGCATGCGCATTCAGTGCCAAGTGGGGAAAGAGGGACTTCCTAACTATGTTGTAGGTCTCCTTGAAGAAAACAAAAGATTTACTGCTCAGTGGGTGGAATAAGTGAACAGACCCGTCGTTCGAAATGGACAAAGCAGAGTTTGATCTCCGACCTGGATGAACGGCATTCACATATTTAAGTATTCTTCTACTAAAATTAAAAAAATTAACAATGTACAGAGTGTCCACAGATTGGTAATTGCGAAATGAAAAAGTTAAAAAGTTATTGAAGACATCCACAGCGATAATACAAATGAGTGAGTCCAACACAATGTACTGACAAGAGAGTATGTTTAAATTGGAACTAAAAAAAGGGGTTGATATTGGGATAATGCTTCGGCTATCGTGTTGGTGTTCATAATTATACATGTTAATAAATATTCCCCTGTATAAATCTGCTACGATAAAAAAATTCTTTACTACCTTAATATCAGTGATGAAAAAATTATTGTCCAAGAAGGCACCTTTAGTAAAATCATTTTCATTCACTTCATGAATAAAAAGCTTCGAGTTAATGCAGTGAACGATATTGCAGTGTACATTGGGGTCAATTTTTTTACTTTTCCTATTCGCCCTCCCTGTCGCGATGCTCCTAGCATACGTATTGCGCACTTCCTCCTCTCCTGAAAGCAGTTCCCCATTCTCTCTTCGTCCGCTGTACTTAGCACAATGCTTGATGTCTCCACTACGACTGAGGAGGATGCTCTGCAGGGCACTACCCAACCCCCCATTCGGGCACCCCTCGCTGTGTATGTAGAACGGGTGAATCTGTGTCACTGAGCTGTTATAGGTCTTCTTCATGTATACAGACAGCTTCCCTTTTTTGCCCTTCCCAGTGGGGGAGCACGCTTCTCCTTCTTCTCCTGCTTCCTTTCCCTCCTTCGCGTCCCTCACGGGATCGTCGCCCACGCGGGGGAATACTCCGCTTAAATCAAACACGTAAATGTTGCCCTGCGTTTCGACCCTCTCGCCAATATTCAAACTAGTGCTCACGTAAATGTGCTCCTTCCCATGGAGACACCCGAACGAAACACAATGGATTTCCTCACTGTGCTCAAACGTGTAGTACCCATACACCCTTTTTGTATCACACTCGTGTAAAATAAGTAACTTACTAAACTTGGCATTTGTTTTTGCGGAGCAAATGGGTTGGTTGTTCTTCCGCATAAGCTCTTCGTCGTTCCTTGTGACTCCGTCCTCCTCCTCCTTATCGTTAGTACAGAGGAACCCCTTCATCTTGTGCGTGTACTGATTGTTAATGCTGTCCTGCAAGTGCACATTTGGCACGCACTGAACTTCTTCCTCCCCTGCATATGCCACGTTATTTCGAAGTTCGTCCTTTTGCATGGTTAGTCTTTTTTTTTGTAGCTTCTTCAGGCAGTGGTATTCATTGTACTTGACTCGAACGACGGCGCAGATGATTTTTCCGCGGGTTATTTTGTGTACGGTGGGGTCTTCCCTGTTGGGGGGTTCCTTTTGTTCGTTAGGTGCAGTTGGCTGATTCGTTTCTTGCTCCGTTTTTTCCTCCATTTCTGCGGTTGGCTTGTTCTCTGCCTCTTTTGGGTCTTCTTTTTGGCCCCTTTTTTGGCCCCTCTTCAGAATGTACTCAAACTGGGACACAGCTATTTTGCAGACATAGGGGTAGGACAAAAACAGCTTGGAGATGAAGTCATCGTTGAAGGAGAATTTGCTGAGGAGGGGACTTTTTAGAAGAAACACCTCGTTGTGTATTTGCACCTTGTCAACGTTGCTGTGGTGGCAGGTCACCTCCAGGGGGGGACAATCTTCACTTAGCGCTCGCGCGATGTCGCGGTTTAATTGGTATTCGTGATGACCGCTGTCCTGGCCGCCATGTGGGCCACCTGCACACACTTTTTCCTCCTCCTCAATACTAACGATACGAATCCCCCTTGCGTCAACCCTGAGAAACGCATTACGGTCAATCGTTATAATACTCTTGGGTTGTGTCTCCTCCGTTGCCACTTGTTCCTCCTCATCGCAGCGGTGAACAAATAGCTTGCCCCTACAATTGGACAGCAGTAGGGGGGGGAAGGTCTCGTTGTAGGCCCGGACCTTCTTATAAAGTTGCTCTTCCAGATTACCACCACTGACGTGACTTAGGTCCACCTTGGAGAAATTTACATGAGGATAACCTACTATACATTTTGATAATTTTTTTTTTTTTTTTTTTTTTTTTCTTTCACTTGTTTGAAGTGTAACATTGTCCCCTTTTGTCTTTGCCTTCTTCCTTCCGCTCTTCCGTCCCCTCTTCCTTCCATCTATGTACAGGACAAAACCGTTGTTCATTTCTGCCTTGTCGCGCGAAGCGGTAACGACTTGCATGTTTTCACCACTGGGGTCCTTCACAAAATGCACGTTGCTGAGCAACGGCTGTGTGTACCTGTGTGTGACCACCTGGAATTTCAATCTGCTCATGCTTTTCACTTGGCGCATACTTTTGTATATCAGGATGGGTCTCCCGGTTAGGAAAACGATTAAGATGTAGTTGGAGCCCAGTGGGAAGAGGAGAACATTTATTACCTCTTCGAGTTTGTACGTCTCGAGGAGGAATTCCCCCCCAGACGCCTCTCCTTTCGCTCCGTTCGCACATATCCCACCTTTCCCCCATTTCGCGTGGTACACGTACTTGGGAACGGCTAACAAAGGGTTACTAACAAAAATTGTGCGCTTCTTCTCGAGGTGGAAAATGTGGAGCGTGCAGTTCGAGTCATTCAGGAAGGAGAGAAGACTCTGGGCCTTGCTCTTAACCGTGGAGATGCAGCGGACGTTGTTCAACCGGGTGTACAAGGAGAGTATTTCTCCCACTTCTGAACCACCCATGCTGTTCAAAATGGCGCAAAACATATCTGGCGTGTTGGTTTGGAAGAGGGAGAGAAGATTTTCCTCCATTGTGTTGGTGGAATTCCATGGGCAAGATGCTTCTTGACCCCCCTTCAGTGCTGCTCTCTCCATGACACAGGTTGCAAATCGGAGGAGGTTAATTTCTTCGTCGTCCCCACTCTCCACATCTAGGCAGCGCAAAACGCACATGTTCAGTAGGGATGTGACTTCATGTACCAGATGTAACAAGTTTGTCACTGCGTCCAAGTGGAACGTGTACACAGAGCAGCTGCCGCTTTCGTGTCGCAGAACTAAAAACTTCCTCACCAGCTTGCATTCCACCACTGCGTCCTGCACACAAACCCTCCTAAGCACCATGCACGTGTTGGAGTAAAGAGACACGTTGATCTCCTCCCGGCAGACCTGCACTAGTAAACCCTTAAACCGTAACAACGCTATGCAATTCCCTTCCATATTCAAGTGTGTATTTTTTTTTCTCTCCATTAAAAAAAATTGTGCGCATTTTTGTTTCAACTCAAATGTGATGTGATTTTGCTTGTGGCAACAGGTACTATCGCCTGCATCTGGTGGGGTGTCCCGTTGACTCTCCTGTTCGTCATCCCATTCGTTTCCCCCTTCAAGAGAATGCTCCGCTCCAGGGTTGTAAACCATCTCCAGGTATCTCTTCACATCCCTCCTGCTGTAATGAACAAAAGGGTAGAATCTGAAAAAAGCACGAAAGGTGTTGGCCTTGGCTGTTCCTGTTGGAGGGAACTCCACCACCTCGTGAGATGGTTCCCCTTGCACGCTCTCTCCCCTTAGCGTGTAAATAAATTTGGCGCGATGGTTGCTAAGTAGAGTTTCCCTAGTCTTGTCCCCCACGTCTGAAACATGCAACCCACTAGTTGTAGGTTCAACCACTAATCCTTCCTTGTGCTCATTCAGAAGAGTCATTTTTGTCCTGGTCCCTTTTTTCTGTCCCCATGTATTAAGGTTGCCCACGCATAGGAGGAGGCTTCTCCTTATGAGTCCATTGCCTGCTGCTCCCCCATCAGTGGTAATATTTTGATCACCGTACCCTCTCCCATCTCCCACTTCATTATAAGGCCCACCTTCACCAGCCTCCTCCTGGCGTGTCCATCCTTCAAGGTTAATCATAACATACTGACCCGCTCGATGCCTTGTTCCCCCCTCAGTGGCACACACACTCCTTGTGCACGCCCCTCCAAAGGAAACATTTAACAAAGTGCTGAAAGGAACTCTAAAGAAAATTTTTTGCACACTGCTATATTTTTTATTCCCTATAAGGGCGAAGTAGCTGCTTCTGTTTACCAAGCTGGGTTCTTCATTGGACTTAATTAAATCTGTTAACATCCCCTTGGCTGGTATTTTGTCCACTATGGTTATTATTTTCTTATGACTCACATTTCCTAGCCCAAGAGAGCTTCTTATTTTTTCTCTCCTGTTCTTCCTCCTCTTAAGTATAAACAGGGAAGGGACGTACTCGATTCCCCCCTGGGCATTTATTAAGGAAAAATTACCTTCGAGAATTTTTATTTTTTTTTTATATTTATGAAATAGGTAATCATACTTGGTGTGGTTGAGTCCTTTCGTGTGTTCGTTGACCATTGGGTTTTTGTTTAGGTAGATCAGGAGGTCCATTAGGAAGTTGTCATTTGGCCGCACCCTCCTGGTCGCTCTCGCCGGGTCTCCACGCGGGGTTGCAACAGGGGGAGGTGCATTGGGGGAATCCCCACTGGCAGGCACCAGGTCCACATCGTGTGCTACGTCCACATCCCGTGGCGATTCCCCCGTGGGGTGTCCCCCAGCACGCTCCTCCCCTTTGAGCAATTTCTCCCTCTTGGCTGGGTACGACGGGAGGGCTGCCTTTCTCTTCCGCGAAGACACTCCCGCGCGCCCACCTCTGACACGCCTTGCCAGACTGCGCCCCCCACGCCCCCTGACGAGCAAATCCACGTCGGCTCTGCCGCACAGCCCATTGTAGCAGCATACGAAATGGACCCTGCCTCCAAAGAAACAAAGAGAGGACTTGGCTAAGTCATACTTGAACGTATAAACCTTCCTCCACTTTATGAGCTTCACCAAGTTGTTGTGGTCCCTCGACAGAGTCCCTTCCAGGACACATCTCCGGGTAAGGATAAAAAGCTTCCCCTTCCTGTGGCACATGTTACTACTACTCTCTTTAAAACGCACATTCAAATCTGTGCAGTCACAAAAAAGAGTTTCTTTCTTCTGCAAATGAAGAACCCCATTCGTGTAGCAACTTTTTTTAAAAAAATAAATTACTCTTTGGTTTTTGCGTATGTTCAGAACGTACAGGTAGTCCTGACAAAGACATATGAGCAAGTCCTTCACCCGCAGGAGGTCTATTGTATCGTTTGGAAATGCCTTCATCAGCTTGTTCGCGTCAAACTTGTGATCCTCTTGTCGTAGAACTAGGAGCTTCAGGTTCAGCTCTTCCACCGTGGCGTTACCCACGTTGATCTGCAGTGATGGGGAGAAGTGGTGTGGAGCAGTGATGAGGTGGAGCGATGGGGAGAAGTGGTGTGGAGCAGTGATGAGGTGGAGCGATGAGGAGAAGTGGTGTGGAGC